TCTGGCCATTGTGTCCTGCACAGACACAGAGTCGGTCGATATGGGTGTTGAAAAAGGGTTGTCCCAAAGAACAGAGGCGGCAGACCCAGTTCTAGACTCAGCCGTACTAATAAACCGGCTGAGTTCACAGCTAGGTTCCGGGTATGGGTATAAGGGGTCCATCTACTTATGGGACCAATGAACAAAAATGCGAGTAAAAGACTCAAACGGAAATACATGAAAAAGCTAGAAAGAATAGAGACGGTACCTAGAAGAAAATCTGGAAATTCTCTGGGATGCTTGCGAAGACGCAGGCGGTTCAAAATCCGGCTGGGTTTCTCTGATTACCCTCTCGAAAATCTTTGGCTAGCTTGCAACGACCCAGACGGTCTGTAGACCGGTTGCTCTCAACGAATCTCAACTCCGAATGCTCTCAACTCTCAAATTGCCGGCTGCTCTCAAATCTTCAGAAATTTGGCAAAGTTGGTAAATGAGAGCTCGGGGGACATCTTCTCCTATTTATAGAATTTGTCCCGGAAGGTGAAAAGTCGTGACTCTTCGCCTTCTGCTTTTCCATCCTTAAAAAAAATAAAAAAATAAAAAAAAAAAAAAAAACCTTTCACCGGCGCCACGTGGCACTCTGCCACGTCAGCACCAGTGAGGGGCAAATGTTTGGGGTAAAAATACCCTAATCACATGGCCCAATGGCCTAGTGACACGTGGCATCCAGCCATTGGTCAGCAGGGCTCCAATCCTCTGCTGACACGTGTCCTCTAAACCCTAAAAGGGGAACCATCCCTTCCCCACTATAAATAGTGGAAGGACCCTCATTAATCGGGGCTGGAACATTTGTTGATCACATTGAATACTCCTCAAAAAGAAACACACTTACCCCGAGCAATATTAATTGCGGAATTCTCCCATTACGCGAGAAGTAACTTCCACATTACGTGCATTCTACCTCCCGTATCTTTACTAACTTGATCGTCGGAGGCGGAGCTCCTACCCCCAGGAGTCTTCGTGATTTTGCAGGCACAGGCGTCGAAGGGCATTCTTGGAATCGTAACTCTCCCGCAGGACACATCAAAAAAACCCCGAAACAAGGATGTTAAGATAATACCGTCCGCAGAAGGTTATCTCCTTGAAGAACATAGAAGGTTGTTCCTCAAGCTTTAACAGACAGGGTTGCCAGTCCAAACGTTGGACATTTTCTGCCGCCTGACCTCCTAAGGGGGCCGGCTGCATGCATGGTTGTGCTTTCGGCCGATATGGCTACTGAGGCGCATACAGAGCCGAATGGATTATCCAAGGGCTAATGTGGACGGACTAGCAACCTGACTAACTGAATCTCTCTGCTTGATTGCGAATACCTCATTGAGGTATTCTGAAAGCTGTTTGAGTAGGTCAACGTTGAAGCCGACTCAAACATTTAGGATAGGGAGGAGGCACTCGGCCTTTGACCTCGACTGTAAGCCGTTTCTTATTAATAGGCGAAAAAGACTGTTGTGAAGCAATCTTAGTAGTACTCTCCGAACAGACGGCGCCAAATATTTTGGGGTTTTTTATGTGTCCTGCGGGAGAGTTACAACATCAAGACTGGACCCACGCGCATGTACCTGCAAAACAACGGAGACTCCCGGGGGTGGGAGTTCCGCCTCCGACGATCAAGTTAGAACGTGTTCGGATGTAAAAAGTGCGGAATGTAAAGGGGGATCAGGCTCCTCTTAGGAGAGGAGTGATCATCCGGCTGTTTGAGATAACCTCAATATCTGAGTGTTTCACTCTCTGATTTGTGTAGATTGAATGTGTATTCAATTGAGTCCCCCCCCCCTAACTGATGTAAATGATCAGTATTTATAAGGCCTCTTGGGACAGGTGCCCTTTTAGGTTATTTTAACCCAAGTAGATGGGCTTCCCACCGTTTTACGGTTTCTAGGGTTATGGGCTTAAAGCCCGTTTTCCCCTTTGAATGACACGTGTCATGCTCTAATTGGCTCATTAAGCGCTGAGCTTAGGGACACGTGTCGCAGCGACATTGGTCCACATGCAAGGGTATTTTTACCCTAAACAATATTTAGGGTAAACCATTAAGTGAGTGTTAAAATTTAACAAAATTAATTTTAATTTAATTAATCTTTTATTTGTTTGAAAAATGTTTGAAAAAAAAATTATTTTTATTAAAACACCCATCCCCCACCCACTACCCCAGCCAGTTCCCTCCCGCAGTCCCTCTCCCCCTATGTCGGCGCCGCTGATCCTACTGCGCCTCCCCCTGACTCCGGCTGCCCCTCCCCCACCCTCAATCGTCCCTCCCCGTCCCCCCTAATACACCATAACCACAAATACACGAAAAAATCACTTGTTTTTTCTTTCCCTCTTTCTATGAAAACCCCCAAAACTGACCATGTTCTTCTTTCCTCTCTTTGGCTGGTCATGATCTTCACCATTCAACCACCATCGTTCGTTATCACTGACCATCTCCATCAGTCAGCATTAACATCAAAAAGATCAAAAAGCCTTGGCTGTTGGCTTAATTGAATCAATTGATTTAGGCTAAAATTGGAGTTTGCGGCTCTAGATTATGTGCTAGCGGCGCTGCTTGGTAGTGCGGTGGTGTGGTATTGTTGGTTGCAAGTTGGTGCGACGGTGGCTGGTTGTTCGGCAGCTACTGTGTAGCAGTTGTGGGGAGCTGCTCGATTGTGGGCTGGTGTTGCGAGTTTGGTGCGTGAGGGAACAAGGCTGGGTGTTGGGAATTGGGCTGGGGTGTTGGAAATTGGGGCTGGGGTGGCTGGCTGCTTGGGGAAGGGGTGGTTATTTTTTTAAAAAAAGATTAATTAAATTGTGATATAACTATCCTTAGTTAGTTTAGTATTTTTAATTATTATAAAACTAACCTTGGTTAAATTTAACAGCCAGTTAACGGTTTGAGCTAAATAAGGTTATAGAAGTAACATTTTAAAAGTAGACGACTATAAAAGATAATTCATATACAAAGTGGCTACCAATGAAAATAAGCAAAAGTATGAGGCTACCAATGAGAATTTCCAAAAAAAAAAAAAAACTAATACTATTACTTTTCTTATCTATAAATAAACACTACTTTAAGAAAATAATAAAATAAAAAAAAAAAGGATTTTTTGTAACTAACCACCCAAAAAACTGTCCACTTTTGATATAACCACCCAAAAAATAATTTATTTTAAATTACCACCCATTAAATTAAAAAAACGCTCAGATCACCACCCATTTAGAATTTCCGGTGGAATTTCCGTCAGTGGGCCCCACTTTTTTTATTTTTTTTCTTTAATCTGTCTCCTCCCATTTAACCACCTTCATTCATGGCACCCACCATAACAACCACCACCCTTCCATAACCACCACCACATCACCACCCAACCCCCACTCCCACGACTGACATGCCACCCACGAGCAAAAAAAAGCTCCAGGATCACTCCAATGGCATCCTCAAACTATCAGAAATTCCCCTTTTCTTCATCCTGACTATCATCAACAACAACAAAATCATCATCTTCATACATCCCACTTCACTAAACACAGCTCTGATTCTTTCGGGGTTGATGCCGGGACATAGAAATTTTCCGGGCAACCCGAAACCCCAAGACCCGACCACCCTGTTTAACCTCAGCCACCTCTAAACCCGACCACCATTCCGTTCAACCCCAGCCACCCCAAAACCCATAAACCCAACCACCCATTCAACCTCAGCCACCCACAAAATCCCCCTAACCACGACCACCCCAGCCAATTGCAGCAACATCAGCCCGCAACCACCGTACCCCACCTCTTCAACATCGCTTCACCAATCTCACCCAATTCGTCGCCAATTAAACCCATTTCAGCCACCAATTGGTTCAATTTCGTCCCCGGACAACACCGATTTCAGCTCCAATTGCAACATTCGACCATCAATTTATGCCCAATTTTGAAACCCAGATGTGCGTTCACCACGAGTTGTTAATAAAATTTTAGAATAAATGCTCAGATCTGTGAAACTCGCCCTTTATTTGGGATTATGAGAGCTTTCTCTCTCTAGATTTTGTTTCTGGGTTTTGAAGGCAGAGGTGGAGGGCAGTGAAGTTGAAGGCGGTGGTCGGTGGGGTGTGTTGAGGGTGGTGGGGTAGATTGCAGTGGCTAGGAAGTATACAAAAATGGAGGAGAGAGAAAGTGAGGGAGATTGGGGTGAGGGAGCAATGGTGGGGGTGGTGGTTGGAAGAAGAAAGGAAGAAGGTAGGAAGAAGAAGAGTGAAATCGAGGAGAGAGAGTGAGAAAGCCAGAAAAAAAAAAGGAAAAAAATAAAAAAAGTGGGGCCCACTGACGGAAATTCCACCGGAAATTCTAAATGGGTGGTGATATGAACGTTTTTTTTAATTTAATGGGTGGTAATTTAAAATAAATTATTTTTTGGGTGGTTATATCAAAAGTGGACAGTTTTTTGGGTGGTAATTTACAAAAAATCCTAAAAAAAAAATAACAAATGAAATTCATAAGATGCTCATTTTTATGTAATGTAAGATATATATAGATAAAGTATTTGTTATTACGATGTTGATGGTAAAAATTGATTTTGTTTCTTTATGAGTTATAAACTTAGCTTATCTCGATTAGAGGTGTCAAAAATCAACCCGTATGATAAAATCATTTCTTCTAAACTATATTTAACCTATTCGAACCCGAAACTTTGAGTCAAACCCAATTTATATCCTACATTAACAAATTATGTTAAACCAATTTTTCCTCCAAAATACAAGTAAAGTACAATCTTCTTCCTCCACCTGACCACCACCACCAATAATATTTCCTTCTCTCTTCCCTCCTCCCATGGCTATGTTGGCGATTGACCACCTTCGCGACTATAAATTGGCCAGCCGACCAGCAAAAGACACCCTAGTTGCAAAGCAAGTAAAGTAGGCTCATATTAACCCCTTAGGGAAAGGGATTTGCTTGTGAAATAGTGTTAATAGTTGTGCGGTGGTGCTAACTGTCGTGATGTGGTGCGATGGATGGCTCTAAAGGTCGTGCGGTGGTCGTGCTATGGTGTTAATGGGCGTGCGGTGGTTGCAGTGGTTCTAGTGTTGTGCAGTGGTCGAGCGAGTGGTGCTTATGGTCGTTATGTGGTGACAGTGATGGTCTGCGGTGGTGCGCTAGTGTAGGCAGAGGAGAGAGAAAGGGTGCGGTAGTGTAGATAGTGGAGAGAGAAAGAGGATATGGTTGTGAATTGACAAAATTATCCCTGTATTTGTTAATAAAGGATATTAACTTGTATTTTCTCCGAAACTTTGGGTAAGGGTTTAATATTTCTCAACATGCGATTCGACCCAAACCCAACCAGATTGACAAGTCTAATTACACTACATAATTTCAATAATTAGTGTTGTTTCGGGGTTTTTTGGATGTCATGTGAGAGAGTTACAACACCAACACTGACCTCTGGACGCCTGTACCTGCAAAATAACGGACTCTTGTGGGTGGGAGTTTCTCCTCCGACGATCAAGTTAGAACATGTTCAGAAGTAAAGTTGCGGAAAGTAAAGGGGATCAGGCTCCTCTTGGAAGGGGAGTGATCATCCGACTGTCTGAGACAGTCTCAATATCCGAGCCTTAGCTCTTAAAGAGTGCAATTAATGTTGGGTTTAATGCGCAGCAATCAATGAACACGTGTGTTTTTGGAATTTCTGAATGATGTTCCTCAGAGGGAACATCTCCCTTTTATAGGGTCTTGAATTGTGTGCCCAGTACTAGATTTTCAGAAACCTAAGACTGACTGGGCTTGCCTAGGTATTTGGAACCTTAAAGACCACTTTCCTAGTTGGCAATCTGCCTGCCACGTGTCTTGGCCTGATTGGTCCACCTTGGACCTCTCACGAGGTGACATGTGGCGGTCTCTAGTTGGTCCACGTGGATGACACGTGGCGGGAGAAATCCCTAATCATTTGCCCCTCACAGGAGTGACGTGGCATGCCACGTGGCGCCTGTGATAGGTGTCACGCTCTGATTTGCTAACGATTTTTTACCGTTTTTTTTTTTTTACTAACCCTTGAAATTCTCCCCCTATAAATAGGGGGTGTCCAAATCATTTGGACATTCTAGAACTTTTTTCAGACAAAATTTTTGACTCAAAAGCTCTGACATTTTGGACGATTGCCGCTTGCTTTTGGACCGCCTGCTCAAACATCCGCCCGTTTCTCGAGAACTTCCAGTCTTCTTTTCTCAAAGGTAACCACCTGCTTTCTTTTGAATTTTCTCTTTGTTTCTCTTTTTCTTTTTGAAAATGGTTTCCAAAAAGCACACGACACGGCCTAGGTTAGTGATCAGCCGGTCACCGGGGATGGCTGAATCTAGAACTAGGAGTGCCAACTGCCCCTTGCTGAATCACCCTTTGCAAACTGCCCCAAGGCAGACTGTCTATGTGTCTGTGCAGGACACCATGGCCAGAACAAAGAGAACCACAAGGGTGACCAATTCAGACGGCTCTTCCTTCTATGCGCCTGTCAGTGAATTGTTTGACGTGCCGCCTGGTGCCCCAAGCACTCCCAGTGATTCCATATTAGAAGAATCAGGGGAGGAGGTTCAAAATGATATGCCGGGCTTTGTTGATCTAGCCCACCAGGCGGACTCCTCATTTGAGAGCTCAGAAAGCGACTCTGAGCCAAGTAATTCCAGCAAATTCTCGGATGAGTACTGATTAGGGGATTTTTCTCCCACCAATCGGAATGCGCCACGTGGACCAATCAGGTCCTGCCAAGTGTCCCCTAGTTGGAACTGTCAGGGCCTGCCACGTGGCACGCGCTTATTCGTCCACCTTGGACCTGTTATGTCACGACATGTGGCATACTCCATGGCTAATGGAGAAACCGGCCACCCAGGCCCAACTTCCGAGGGAAGCCCAATCGGCCCTAGGTTTACCTAAACCTAGGATGGGCACGCTTCCCAAGGTTATAAATACCTCCCTTAATCCTCATTAAGGGGGATTACGAAAAAACACAGAAACATTACGGAAAAAACACATTAATTACACACAGTAATAACCGACTGATCTCGCTAACAAAGCAAATTACCTACGTTAATCACTCTCACCTAGAGAGACCTAATCACTTTAATTTCCGCATTAATTACTCCTTAATCAGGTACTAACTTGACCGTTGGAGGCAGAGCTCACAGGAGTCTCCGTTATTTTGCAGGTACAGGCGTCCGGTTCCAGTCTCGGAATTGTAACTCTCCCGCAGGACATCAGAAAACCCCGAAACATTTGGCGCCGTCTGTGGGGAGAGTACTTCTGAGATGGCATCCAAGTCTGTACCGACTCCTGAAGAGAGGCGTCCCCTAGACGACCCTCAAGTTCAGTCGGACCATGATACCGAAAGTGAATTCGAAGTTGAAGCTCGTACAGCTTCAGACGGGACCCTAAGGGCCCGACGTACCCGTCATACCGAAAGGAGGGAACGGGAACATCTTCAAACAGGAAGCGAGCCAGCAGGCGCACCGCCTGTTCGGCAACAGCCGACTGATGGGTCTGCTCCCATCACAAGGAACGAACTCATGACCTTCATGAGGGACTTCAAGGGAGAGATTCAAGAGTTGATCAACAAGAAGCCGCCTGCTCCAGTCAAGGAGCAGTCGGCCAAGAAACCCTCCACTTCACTGAAGAGGAAGCCAGTTCAAGGGCGAGAGGCGACTCCTCATCCTAAATCTAGGAAGCGGGAGCCACCTGCCCTTGATTTCACAAAATTCCGTTATCCTACAGGAAATAGGAAACCTGTTCGTCATATTCAGGCGGACGGGTCGAAGCAAACATTCACAGATGCTCGGCTACTGCTAGAGCAGAAGAAGAGTGACCGATTGTCAGAGTCGGCCTCTACTTCAAACTTTCAAGACAGTTTGCGAAATGCCTCGATGAGGCATACTCAGTCGTATCATGAGAGTCAGTCAGGCGGCACCTCCCGTCAGTCCGGCTTTCATAGTGACCAGGCAGTACCAAACTTACCATTTGTGCCGCAACAACAGTATTTTTTGCAGCCACCTCCGTTTGGTGGACCTGCAGCAAAAAACGTCCAACCTATGGACTGGCAGCTACGGTTGCTTAGATTTGGTGAACAGCCGTCGGCCTTCTCCCAGGAAATTACTGAAGCCGCTCAGCCGACCAAAGTGAAAAATGTACTAGTAGGCGCCTATGACGGCACTACTAACCCAGAAGACCATATGATGGCATTCACCAACCTGATGTACCTTCAAGGGTTGGATGATCCCACTTGGTGCAAGTGTTTCCCAGCGACTCTCAAAGGAATCGCACAGCAATGGTTCGGCAACCTGCCGACTGGTTGTGTAAATAGCTTCAGGACGCTTGCTTACTTATTTGCCTCCAACTTCGCCATGAACATCCCTGCGAAGAAAACGGCCCTTGATTTGGGAACAATTCAGCAGGGCGAGAAGGAGGGGCTTCGTTCCTACATCAGGCGGTTTAACCTGATGAGAATACAGATTCAAGGGTTACCGGATGAGGTAGCCTATACTGACTTTTTCAGAGGTCTCAAAGACGGGTCTACCTTCAAATTTGATTTGGTTCGAAAGAGGGTGGCGACTCTTCAAGAGGCCTTGATTGAAGCAGAAGCCTATATACAGGCGACTGATCTGTGTACGATAAAACAGTCGGACGGGAAAAGGTTCGACAAAAGAGAAGGACGACAGAAACAGTCGTCAAACAAAGATGAGAAAAGGAAAGAGGTCTGGGCGGCTGATTCCTCTAAACAGCCGGCCCAGAAAAAGAAAAAAGAATTCAAACCATACTCCCCAAAGTATGCGTTTAACAAGGATAACCAGTTTATCCTAAAAGAAATCAAGGGACGGATCTCAATTGAGAAGCCGGTCCCCATGAAGGGTTCTGCAAACAACCGGAACCAAGATAAATTCTGTGCTTATCATGATGATGTTGGTCATCACACCAATGACTGCATCAGTCTCATGCGGTACCTAGACCGCCTGGCTGAGCAAGGTGATCTTGACACTTATGTCAAGAAATCTACGGGGAACACTTCCTCAAAAAAGCAGTCGGCCAAAAAGAATCAGCAGGCCGACAGCTCTGATACAGATGATGCAGTCGTCTACACCATTGCAGGCGGCTTCTCAGGAGGCGGCCCCACTATTAGGGGCAACAAAGACAATATCAGGCGGTTAGATATAAATTCCGTTCACCAAGAACGGTCGTCCAAATATTCATTTCCTGAGATTGTCATCACTGAAGAAGATATAGGAGGGGTAAGGGGGCCGCATGACGACCCTCTCGTTATTGAATGTAAAGTGGCCAACCAGAGAGTTGGCCGAATCCTCATAGATACCGGAAGCTCCTCAGTAGCAAATGTCTGTCGAAACTGAAATATCAGACTGATTGCATACATCCGGCCTTTCACCCTTTAGTAGGGTTTGGAGGAGGAGTCGTCCACCCACTGGGACGAGTAGATTTACCCATCCGCTTGGGCAAAAAAGGGGAAGGACGACACATGGTAGTCCGGTTCCTGGTAGTCTCTCGGCCTACAACATGATTCTGGGTCGACCTACCCTGAATAATTCTAAGGCTGTTATAATCCCATCTCTTATGTTGCTCAATTTTGAGAGGGATAATGGAACAGTCGGCTCCCTAAGGGGAGATCAGAGGATGGCCCGAGAGTGCTATCTCTCGGATGTCAAGCCCACTGTTATGGCCACTGGGTCAAGTGGTGAAAAAACAGACCTTGACAATGTCAAGGAGAGTGCGCCTGTTCAAGAAGCAGGCGGCAAAAAGAGAAAGGCATCCCAGACAGGGGCCGCAAGAAAAGCAAGAAAATAGCAATCATTGGAAGAGGAGCGGCCGGATGAGTTCCGCCCTCAGCCGGCTGGTGAGCATGCGGACCTGATCTTAGGCGACTCACGTCCTGACCGAACAGTCAAAGTTGGGACGACTACTCTGAGAAACCTTGGTGACAACTTTCACAAACTATTGAAAGAATACAAGGACATCTTTGCATTCGAAATCCATGAAATGCCAGGCATTAGTCCTGATCTGGCGGTACATAAAATGGTCGTGGATCCGAAAAAGAAGCCGGTACGGCAAAAGAAGCGGAACCATGGCGAAGAAAGAAGTCAGGCGGCAGCCGCCG